AAGAGGCTATTTTTTGCCTCATTTCTTATCTAGCCTTAATAACTGAAATGACTGAACTCAGACAAACTGAGACCCGGGAAAGACCCAGGGCTCCCACTGCATCCTAGACCATCTTCAGTCAACATGACTTATATCTTGCCACTGGACTCAGATGACCCTGGAGGAGAGATAGAGGCTGGTGACGCTGCACAGCCCTGCCTCGCTTCAATCCAATTCACTTCCAAGTCAAGACATCACCTTCCTGATGTCATTAGTCTTCTTTGAGAGTGAAGGACAAACAACAACAATTTCCACATACATCCCATTCTCTCTCTTGTAACAATTTTTAAAGAAAAAACTTAAAGAATTATAAAGTATGTCATATACATTATTTCATCTGAGCCCTGTTGTTTCAACCTTGAGAACTATGTCCAACAGCTTTTATTATTCCTCCTTTACACAAAAGAAACAAAGCTCTGGTCGAAGAGCTATGAAGTATTGAAGATGGGTCAATTTTCTGCTGACTCGAAGTCCAGTGGTTTTCCATTACCCTACACTGCCTGAAAAGACCTGGCTTAACAAAGTCTAGTGGTGTGACCTTGAGCAAGTCAGAACCTCTCTAAGCCTCAATTTCCTCACTTATAAAATGGGAAAGTACCTGCAGTAGCCACTTTACAGGGCTGTTGTGAGCAATGTACCTTCAAGTCACTGTACAAAGGAGAGATGTTATCATATGCAAGAAGCTATACTAGATGCAGCAATGTATACATAAAGATGAATGAGGCCAGCAAGAGATTTAAAATCTAGTAAATCTAGTATTGTAGTTAACCCAACTACATACAGTAGATTGTAATAGGTGCCATTACTCAATTCTTTATTTCCATGTAGCCTCCAGCTGAAAGGCAGCCAATTGAGGGAAGAGCCTGACTTTCATTTTATCATTATCTCCCAGTGACCTAAGAAGTGTAGGTACTTAATAAAATCTTGTTAAATTGAACTCCAGGAATCTCCTCTATTCTGTTCCCCTATTTTTTGGTGATCTTTACTTCACCTGAACTCAGTGCTCATGCATTTGTTACATTATAATTTATACTGCTAATAAATTTATCTATGCACATGTCTTACCCAACCCCCCCTACTATATTATAAACTCTATGAAGGTAGAAATCATGACCTATTTATCTTTGAATCTACTCCTACTCAGCAGACTAGGCACTTAAGTGCCATTTAGGCACATGTTCGTTTAATGAAGCAAACTTGATCTCCACATTAGTGCCTTCTCCTATCTAGACTAAAATTCCTATAGTTATTGTCATTCCTTTCAGTGTACAGTGTATACCATATAACAATTTACAGTTAAGAGTTAGAGCACAAGGGTAGGTGGGCTTCAAATCTGTTGTTGTAGGCACTGAGGAAACAGAAGAAATAAGATAGTGCACTGAAGGAGTTTATTATCTAGTACAGGAGATAAGTCAAATAACTATGATTTAAAATAAGAAGCAATAAGTGCAAAGAAAAATATGAAAGAAGATTACTTTTACCTGGAGGGAGCAGAGAAGAGAAATAGGAAAAGTGTTAGGAAGGACCTGGCACAAAATGAATCAGAAAGGTTACTCAGGCAATAATGTAAAAGACGGACTGGTGAGAGACCATTTAGAAAGCTATTACAATTATCCAGCCAATAGATGAAGGCTTGGCCAGGGATGGCGGCAATAAGAGTGGAAAGGAAAGAATGGATGCTGGTGAGAACATAAAGGTAAATCAACAGGTTCTGATTTAAAAAAAAAATCCATTGATTAGATGGTGGGTGTGAGGGAGAAGGAAGAATCAAAGATGATACTGAAGTTTCCAGTTTAGAAAACAAGGAAGATGGTAGTGCCATCAACAGAAATACAAAAGTTAGGTGGAAGGTGGGTTTTTTGAGGGGATGAAAATGAGTTCAGTCTTGAGCATGCTGACTTTGGAGTATGTGGTAAGGACATCCAATGGAGCTATTTTTTTCTAAAGCCTTTTGAAAATGTTAAACAGGTTGCAACATTTTCTCCAGAAGGCCACTGTTAAAATTTTATTTATATTAAATATACCTGGGGGATAGAAGAACACAGATTAGTTTACTGGAGTAAGTTACTGCTATCATAACTTACCCAGCCAACAATGATCTCTTCTCCCAGCTACCATTTTTAGCACCTTCTGGACCATACATACTGGAACATGGTTATATTCGCTATAGAATTGTATTACATAGGCCTTACACTGTTCTCTGTTCTTTTCAAATGAACTAGCATCTGAACTTGGAAGTCCCAGCTCTCTGCCAAGCATTGGATGATCTATGGCAAATCACTTCACTCTCTAAGTGTTAGTACATTCATCTGTAAGACAGGGTGATTAGACTATAACCTAGGAATTCTAGGAACCAATCTCTGCAACAGCGAATGCAGGGGACATATCTGTAATTGTTTCACATCTTTCACAGGGCTTACAACAGCATGTGCTAGTGCAGCATTAGGCACATACTGGTATTCAACAAATACTTGTGGAATTTAATAAAGTGCTTAAGGGAGAAAGTGGGTAGACAAGGGGGTGATATATCCTAGGAATGGAGGAAGAGAAAAAATGTTTAGTTAAAATGCCTCAAAGGGAAGGAGCATGGTGGGGGAAAGAAAGGAGACAGAAATAGAACTGAAGTCACAGACAACTTAATTTATCTCACAATTTTGTTTATGACAAGCCTAACCCCACTTTCCCTGCACCTTATTTCTGTGGAAAACAAAAACATACTCATATCCATTAAGTGGGATGAAACAAGAATATAATAACATTTAATCAACAAACATTTCTGCCTTCTTTGGAAAGAAGTGAAAGGCCATTCCATAATGTACCATTCTCCTGCTTTTGCAGAAAGGAAAGAAAATGCCATTCTAACCTACTTCCTGCCAGGTCTTATGTCTTGGGGCAAAGAGGAGTACACCACTTCTTCAGCTCCTAGCACTTATCTCCTCACCTTAACTGCTTAAGGCACCCATCCTCCCAGGTTTTCACCACCAGGCCAAACCACTATGGAAAACTCACCTGAATTCATTCCTCAATTAGCAAACTCCCACTAGTCATACCCTCCCCACACCCAGTAATTCTGAACCCCCAATTGTAATCATTCAAACCCCATTCTGCATCTAGTACCGATACATTAGTCCTATTCTCCTCCACACAAAACCCCCAGTGTCTCACTCTAAAGCTACCTACACCTCCCATTGTGCTCTCTGGAATGCCTGCTCCATAGGTAACAAACCTGCTTTCATCTCAAATCTTTGCCTTTCCCACTTCTACCATGTTCTGGCTCTCACTGACAACTGGCACCCTCAGATGATATAGCCTCCCTGGTCTCCCTTTCTACTTTCACCCATTTCCTCCATCTCCTCCCTCATCCTTCCTCTTCCCCACATTAAGGCGAAACTGGAATATTCTTTGCTCCAGACTGCCAATTTCAGGTTCTCCCTCTACCACCATTAGTCAGTAGCCTCTCTTCCTTCAACGTTCACTCAATCCCTATCGACTACCCAATAAAAATTCTGGTAGCTGTTATCTTTCTGCATCCAGGACACTCCCCTTCTTTCCTCAATGAATTCAGTACCTGGATCACAGTCTTTCTCTCCTCCCCAACTCTTTCCCTCATACTAGTGGACTTCAACATATACCATGGCACTGTCTTAAACAGTGTCTTAAACACTGTTTAAGGTGTCTTAAACACCTTAAAATCACAGTTCCTCTATGCCCAAAGGGCTATAAAACTGTAGATACCCTTTGATCCAGGAACTACCACTACTAGGTCTGTATCCCAAAGACATCATAAAAAAGGCAAAAGGACTTATACTTACAAAAATACTTACAGCAGCTCATTTCGTGTGGCAAAGAATTGGACATTGAGGGAATGCCCATCAATTGGGGAATGGCTGAACAAGTTGTGGCATATGAATATAACGGAATACTACTGTGTTATAAGAAATAATGAGCAGGCAGGTTTCACAAAAACGTGGAAAAACTTACATGAATTGATGCTAAGTGAAGTGAGCAGAAAGCAACATTGTATAGCAGAAAGCAACACTGTATAATGATCAATCAGGACTGACTTAGCTCTTCTCAGAAATACAATGATCCAAGAAAATTTCAAAAGATTCATGATGGAAAATGCTATCCACATTCAGAAAAAGAACCATGGATTCTGAATGCAGATTGAAGCATGTACTATTTTCACTTTTTTTGTTTTTTTCGTGTGGTTTTCCCTTTTGTTCTGATTCTTTCCCAACATGACTAATGCAGATTGAGGATTAGGATCCAGTCAACCTGGTGCAGTGGTGGAGGAAAAAATATCCCAATGGATTTCAAGTCAGAAAACCTCCCTTTAAATCCCTGTTCTGTCACTTAACTACTTCTATGGTCTTGGACAATTACTTTAACTATCTGGGCCTCAGTTTTCTCACGTGCAAAATTAGGGGATATGAGTAAATCTACGATCCTAGTGATCATATACATATATATCATATATACGTGTATTATATATATACATGATTCATATATAATATGATGCTACTGCTGTGAGCACTGGGGAGCTACAGAAGGCTTGCGAGTTGGCGACTGACGAAAGATAAGAGAGCAGCAGTGTGGATTTAGAAAGCAAAGTAGAGACTCGTTCAGATGTGACATATCAAATCAAGCTCTGGCCTCAAGCGGGGAAATAGAGGGCGGAAATGGAGGGTAATGGATGAAGAGGGACAGCGAGAAGCAAGAAGTAACAGCACAGGCCTTGTTGATATCGGAAAAGAGAGGTACAGGACTGGGGGGGGTAAGGAGACGGAGGGCAGTATAAAAATGGCAGAGGGGTGGGGGCATTCAGGGCCAGCATCCAGATCACTTGAGGCTGAGAAGCACAGGTAAACTTAGGAGTTTGGGCCTAAAATGGGGCAGGGGTCGCGCTTCATCTTTGTCCTCTCTTCCTCTTCTGCCCCACCCCCATACCCCTCACTCACATTTTTCGCAAACCATCCTGTCAGAGTGACCAAGTCGGTTTAACTAAGGCACAGGTTTCCCCGAAATGTAAACAATCCTTCGCCGGGAACCTCCTTCCGGGTCATAAGGGATTTACTTCCGCCTTCCTAATTTCACCCCACACCTGGGAGTGCCGCAGGAGAAGCGTGGTGAAAAGAGGGCGGGGCTTGTCTCCTCTTTCCGGCCTCTCTCCCTCTCCGATTGGCTGCTGGAGCTTCCCATCCATTGCGGAGGAGGAGCACGCGCTCCTGCGCGTGATGCGTGACGACCAGTCGCACCTGAGAGCCGAGTGGGCGGGAGCTCGGGCTCAGGTGCTGGCTTTTGCCTTACCTCCAACCTGCGTCTCCTCGGGCCCGAGGCTCAGGTAAGACGGAAGGGGAGAACCCAGGGTCACCACGCCCCTCTTCGCTTGTGCTGTGCTCCAGCCCTGCTTCCTCGCCCCCCTACGCTCCTGCTCCAGCGAGGAGGGTGAGCTCCTCCTCGGAGCCCCCCGGGTCTGGGATAGAGTGGCCCCCGCTTCTGGGATAGAGTGGCCCCCGCTTCGTCCTTTCTGCCCTTCCCAGCTCCGGTGTGCAGTCTCTTTGCGGCCCTCCTCACCTCCTCACTGGCTCCGATATACTCCTACCCCCTTTCTCTAATGATTTCTGCTAGGATGTTACAGGTGCCCTGGGCCAGGGCAATAATACATCTTCGGATCTTGGACCGGAGAGCCAGAATTCACCTGAGAGCTCACCCGGCCAGCCCTGTTTTTAATTAGAGGAGAAGCGGAGGTACCTGGACTAGTAAAGTGACTTGTCCGCTTAACTGCTCACCAAGTGGGTAGATTATCTTCGTGAGAATGAATGTTCCAAGTAGAATGAGATTTGTGGGGAACTTTCCCTAGTTTCTCCTTGCGCTTGTGGGATCATAGCTTTAGACCCGGACAGGATTGTAAGAGATTATCCCTAGACCAACCCCTCGGGGTTTGCAGATGAGGAAACCGAGGACCAAAGATATGAAGAGTTACGCATCAAATAAATGTCAGAGCTGAGAGTCGAAAAGTCTTTTGCCTATATGCAATCCTGTCTCTATCACGCTTAGCTCTGTCCACTTTGATCCCTTCCCAGACATAGGTTTCTTCAGGTGCTTGGCTTATCTGTAGCAAAGTTAATAGATGAGAGACAGCTAGGTGGCATAGTGTGTAGAATGCTGGACCTGGAGTCTGAAAGACCCAGATTCAAATTTGGTCTCAACATTTATTAGCTGTGTGACCCTAGGCACATCACTAAACCTATGCCTGTTTTCTCATCTCTGAGGCGGAGATAACAACAGCACTTACCTCCCAGTATTGTTGTAAGAATAAAATCAGGTAAAATTTGTAAAGTGCTTTGCAAAATAAATAAATGCTAGCTATTATTATTTTTTTAATAATAGAGATTCCTTAGTCTAAACTAAGTATGATTAGTATCTAGGGACCATCTCCCAGTCTCCCAGCTGGGTGCGTGGACCGTCCCTTATATCTGGAATTCTCTCCCTCTTCTCTGGCTTCCTTTAATGCTCAGCTAAAATTCTACCTTCTGCCAGCAGTCTTTGCTTTTCTGTCGTAGTACTGCGGCCTTGCCTTTGAGATTATCTTCAGTTTATCCTGTATAGATATTTTTTTGTGCAGTTATTTGTACGTTGTCTCCCCTATTAGATTGTGAGATTTTGAAGGCAGGTGCTTAGCAAAGTGCTTAGCATATAGGTACTTAATGCTTGTTGATTTGTGGGAAGTTAGTGTTTCTTGGTTCAGAATGGTATGATTAAACATTCTAGGTGATACCAGGCCAGTGCTTTGTTATGAAGGTCCATATGGTGTCACTTAGCATTTGACAGGAGGTATAAATAAGATACTGTAGTATTGGAATGTTAGCAAAGGTAAGAAACAGGAAAGCATTTTGGGAGAAATTGTATTTTTAAGGGGTTCCACAGTGCATAGCTTTGATTCTAGCAGTGCCCAATGCCACAGGCTGATAAATTTCTTAATCCTTTGCAAGTGAGGACCTCTTGTCTGTGGCATATGACCAAAATGAAAATGGATGTGCCCGGTGCCTTGGCATATAGCGCCTACTGGCACTTAATAAATATTTGTTGACTAGTAACTACAAGACTCTTTTTGATTTTTCACAAGACAGTTATCAGTTCTAGACTTTTAGTATAAGTTTGCCCCTCAGTTGAGCATTTATTAAGCACTTATGTGTGAGACCCTGTCCATAAAATTAAGAATTAAAAAACAACAACAACAAAACCGGCCTCTGCTCTTAAGGAGCTTCCATTCTAATGAGGGAGACAGCTTGTAAATAAAAAGAGGTATGTATGAGATACATACAGAGCAGCTCCAAAGTAACCTTAGAGGCCAAAGCCCTAATAGCTAGTGGGACTGGAAAAGGTTTTCAGCTGAAGGTAGCCCCGAGTCTTGAAGGGAGAGCATTCCAGAGACGGGGGAACAACCAATGCAAAGGCCTAACAGCAGGCAGTGGCAAAAAGTGGCATCAGATTCAGAAAGGAAAAGGATCCCTGCAGGCTGCCATAGAAAACCACAAATGCACATTTTTATATGGTATTGTATTTTATTTTGTTAAACATTTCCCTATATTTTAATCTGATTTGGGTAGCATTCTTGAGTTTGACACCCCTGGTATCAAAAATAGCAAGTGGTTTGGGCTGTAGAGGTGGAAGAGCAGGATGGGTGAAAAGAATAGATGTGGGCAGAAGATATTGGAGTTGGTAACAGGTTTGACTCTATGATCAAATTTACTGATTATATTTGTGTTCTAAAACATGTTTACTGTTGAGTTAATTTAAGTGCAAGTTTCTTGTTTTAGAGTTTGAAATGTTTAGGACAAATATAGCATATCAATACGTGCTAGTCTTTTATAAAATTCAATTTGTTTTTCAGTGGATACACCTTCCAGGAAGCACCATGAAAGATACTGATATCAAGAGACTGTTTTATGCTCACCTTTTCTGTGTATTTTCCATTATTCTAACTACCTTCATTCCATCTTTATTCTTGGAGGAGTTCTCAGTCTTGGAAACACACTTGACATGGTTGTGCATCTGTTCTATATGTGTAACCATTCTCAATGTAGCATTATATTTACTAGTAAAACCAAATCCATCTTCTAAGAGAAGCTCAATTTCACACAAGGTAAGACTTACTTTACAATAACTGATTTTGGGAAGTGTTTCCTGAGGAAAGAATGGAGTTGTTGAGATACAGAATCAATACAGACCTCTTTAGATACTGGCAACAATGAATTAGCAGCTGTTCTTAGTCAAATTTATTTTTCAGTTTAGTGGAATTTGACTTACCAGAGTAGACCACAAATGTTGTATAAGGGGTTAGTACTTCATGAGGGCTGGTGCTCCTTCCAGTGTACTATTCATTTTTGACTTCATAAAAGATTGCCATTGGAGTGAGGAAGGCTCACTGTGGGCAAGTCACTTAACTCGTCCATGCTCTAGCCAACTTTAAGACTATAAATTATAGAGTTACTAATAACAAGGGAGTTTTCTATACCCTGATGAAATCACAGGCTCAGATTAAAAAAAATCTTTCAAAGATGGCTACCTAATGTACTGGAGGACTGTCTTTTTTATATTTTGTGGGAAGGTATGCTATGTGAATTATGAGATTCATAAGCATAACCTTTTTTTAAAATTGCTAATGAAGATGACTAAAAAGTAGCTGGTTTGCAGATATAAGCTATGTCTTGCTGGAACGCTGGTTAAATTACTATAATATAGGAAATTGAATATTGCTGTAATAAAATGATGTATCTTGAAATTCAATTTTTAGTACTTTGCCAGCTTAAAGGACATTTTTAATTGCCTTATTTTAAAATCTAGTGTGTTTTAAAAAATTTTAAGCTTTATTTGGACAGGTTTCATCTACCAGGTTGTTGGGCAATATATAGGTGGGCCAATTTTCGCATATGAAGTTTAACATATGTAAGATAAATTCTGTTGTTCTGTTAATTATTTACTTACCAAATTGCTGTTAGGTGCAAGTTACTTCAAGTATTTTGTTATTTTCTTCTAATTTAAAAATAGTTACATTTGTGTAGTTCCCTAATTGTTAGAAGGGAGAGCTGGTGATCAGTGTGGTGCAAGTGAAAGGTCACTGGTTGAATCTTCGGCTTTTGGGGCTTTTGTTTTTTTTTTTTTTTTCATTTTTTACTGATAGTACCTTGGGCAAGTCACTTAATATCTTGGGCCTCAATTTCTTTAATTAAAAAGTACAAGGTTTGGTCTAGATCACAGGATCATAGGTTTAGAATTGGAAGGTGCCTTAGAAGTAATCTAATAGCATTTTCACAATTCCTTTTTTTTAAATAGACCCATTTCAATAGCTGTTACAAGTATTTGGAGCCCTTTTCAGAATGATCACAAATTCCAAAATCATAGAGATACAAATTAAAGAATTTTCTTGTCGTCTACAATAAATTCATCTGAAGTTTCTTCCAGCTTCTAATGCATAAACCTGAAATCTGGTCTATGATCTGTCATCTTAGATTGGGAGGTGGAAGGGGATTTAGACATAACTTAGTCTAACACCTTCTTTTACGGATGAGGAAATCAAGGCTTGGAGAGGTGGAATGACTTGCCCATGGAGTCACAGAATAAGTAAGTAGCTGAGGCAGGATTTGAACGTAGGTCTTCTGACTCCACCATAACTGATGCTCTTTCCATGACACCATGCTGCTTCCTCATCAAGAATGGGAGACAGTATGGCATGGTGGATAGAGTGCTAGACTTGGAATTACAAACATAAGCTTTGAAACTTGCCTCAACATATATTAACTGTGTGGCAATGGGCGAATTATTGAACCTTTCTGAGTCTTGGTTCCTCTTCTGTCCACAAAAAGAGTAGTCCTGTAAAACTTATGTCCCAGGGTTTTGTAGATCAAATGAAATATGTGTAAAGTGCTTTGCAAGCTTTAAACGTAATTTAAATGTCAGTTATTATTCTTATATCTCCTTTTTCTATTTAAATATAAACTGTATAGTACTCACTACATATTTATTAATTAAAATAACTTGTGGCCTTTAATACTGCATTCATA